TATTGACTATGCAAAGACATTCAATTGTGTGGATAATAACAAACTATGGATAGCATTAAGAATGGGAATTTCAAAAAATAAATAAATAAAAAGGGAACAAAGGATGGGCAGTTGGGAACACTTAATTGTACTCATAAAGAACTTGTATTAGAATGACAATAGAACAAGGGATGTTGGGTGATTTAAAACCAGGATTGCATGTCAGGGCTGTATCCTTTCAACGTATCGATTCAATCTGTATGTTGGACAAATAAGCAAAGAAACTGGACTTTATGAAGAAGAACCTGGTATCAGGATTAGAGGAAGGTTTATAAACAACCATCAACATGCAAATGACAACTTTGCTTGCTGAGAAATGAGGAGGGCTTGAAGTACTTATTGATGAAAATCAAAGGCTGTAATATTTAGGATGCAACTCAGTGTTAAGAAAACCAAAATCCTCACAATTGGACCAACAGACAGCAACACGATAAATGAAAAGACTGAAGTTTCCTAGGACCTCATTTTGCTTGGATCCTCCATCAATGCTCACAGAAGCAGCAGACAGAAAATCAAAAGACATATTGCAGTCGGCAAATCTGTTGCATAAGACTTCTTTAAAGTGCTTAAATGTGCAGGTGTCATTTTGAGGACTAAGATGTGCATGACCTAAGCCAAAGGATTTGTTAAAGCTGGGCAATGAAGAAGGAAGACCTCAGAAGCATGTGGACATATTGTCAGGAGAGCTCCGTTCCTGGAAAAGGACAAGTGGAGAGCAGCAGAGAAAGAGGAAGGCCCTCAACAGGAGGGATTGACACAGTGGCTGCAAGAATGGCTCAAATGTAAGAACAATGAACAGGATGGCAGAGGACTGGGCTGTGTTTTGTTGTGCATAGGATCTCTCAGTCAGAATCAACCTGATAGCACAAAACAGCAGACAGAGGTGCCGATGTGACCAACTGATGATAACAATCCTGAACACCTTAATGCCCATGAGTTTCCTTGGTACACACATCTCACTTAGTATCGAGGGGAATTAAATCCATCCGGTGTGACTCCACAAAGACAAGACTCTTAAAAGCTTATGGAGTTTCCTCTGGAAGGAGCTACATGTGCCTTCTCCCTTTGCAGATTTTTCTTTACATATTCCAATATAATAAATAGCCATAAGTACAAGCATGTATTGAATTTTACGAGTCCTACTAGGCAATCACTAAACATGGGGTTGGTCTTTTTGTGACTGCCAACATAGACACGTAGTAACTTTTTTTTTTTTTTTGACACATAGTAACTTTTAAGGTCATGTTTAGTCTCAAGAAATGAACATACATACATGAACATTTTATATCTCCTTATTGCTGAAAAATAAATCTATATCTTGCTATGAAAATAAAACAAAAGAAAAATATTTATTTTTTTCTAAAACTTACAATCTTGATCAAGAAACTACTAATTTTTTCAACTCAATATATGCATTTACTTACCTTTAATAACTTGATTTCTCGCAAAGCAATTTTTTTAACCATTTTGTCATCATCACTTTCTAAGAACTTTTTGATGGCCACGATTCTTCCAGTATCTTTATTCCTACACTTCATTACCATTCCATAGCTCCCTTCTCCAACCAATCCTAGGTTCTCATATTTTTCCATTTTAAATCAAAACCAGTTGAAATTTTTCTTACTGTGGAAACTAAAACATAAGGTTAACAAGGTTGCGTATATTAATTTCCTCTATTCTTCCAGCAAATTGATTATCTCTTGCTTTTTTTTCCATTTTAAGAACAATCACTATTTACTAGTGACTTACAATTCCTTATTCTCTTTTCAAACCCATGCTTTTAAAATATTTATGCATATTTAACAAAAAAAACAAGGCAAGGAGGGTGGAGTGGAAAGGGGGAACCGATTGCAAGGATCTACATATAACCTCCTCCCTTCAGGACGGACAGCAGAGGAGTGGGTGAGGGGAGACGTCGGACGGTGCAAGATGTGACAAAATAATGATTTTAAGTTATCAAGGGTTCATGAGGGAGGGGAGAGTGGGGAGAGAGGGGAAAATATGAGTAGCTGATGCCAGGGGCTTAAGTGGAGAGCGAATGTTTTGAGAACGATGAGGGCAATGAATGTACAAGTGTGCTTTACACAATTGATGTATGTATGGATTGTGATAAGTGTTGTACGAGCCCCTAATAAAATGATTTTTTTTTAAAGAAAAAAAAAGTGGGTGAAGGGAGACATCGGTTAGTGTAAGATATGAAAAAATAATAATAATTTATAAATTATCAAGGGTTCATGAGGGAGGGAGGTGGGGAGGGAGGGGAAAAATGAGGAGCTGATACCAAGGGCTCAAGTAGAAAGCAAATGTTTTGAGAATGATGATGGCAACAAATGTACAAATGTGCTAGACACAATGTATGTATGGATTGTGATAAGAGCTGTACAAGGCCCTAATAAAATGATTTTAAAAAGAAAAAAACAAGGCAAATGTAATTGAAATACTTAACTTTGCATTTACATTATTAAAGGTTATATTAATAAAATATCATTTTAATTAAGATAAAGCAACACTCAATTATTAAATTATCAACATAAAATCATTACAGTTAACATCAGTAAAGCAAAATCCCTGTTCACTAAAAGGTAAAAAAAGGTCCAGCTGAATATTACCTTAATGAAATTAAATTTATATTTTAATACCAGATGTAAATGAAAGTTGAAAATTTTAATGCATTTTTTTACTCAATAGAGGTAAATTTTTGTCCATAAAATTATCACTTACCAAACTTAACACTTAGAATCTTTAATTACATAAGTTCTGCTTTTCTTAAGATGATAACTAATTGAACTTCTATACAACTTACAATATAACAGTGATACTACCATAAGTATATAAGGAGATTTTTAAAAGAAATTAAATATAAGTATTACTAAATACAAAAATCCTGTTCACAATAAATATGACCATTTTAATTTTGTTTAAAATTATTCCATCAGGTGGCACTTCTTGAACAAAGTAATCCTAATAGAATCTTTCTTGCTTTACTAATGATTGATGGAGAGTAAGCAATCTTTTTGCTCTATGTTTTGATAAAATAATTATTTCAGTCCAAATAAAGATTTTAATTTATAAGATTTAATTGCCATACTATATTAAAGTCATTAAACTTCACCTTCATTCATTATTTCTGATTTCATAATTGACTTTTGGAAGAAAAGAATAAAAAATAATTGCTATTAATTCCATATGGTTTTAAAGGTTTTGAGTGGGGAAATGTCAGTCTGTTTATACTACATAGTCAAATGATGAATCATAGTTGAATTGTAAAAACACTCATTCACAAAACTAGGAAAGAAGAAATGTTTTGCCTATTAACATGGTATTTATGGTAATCTGAAAATAGTTTACTCGGATTGTTATGTTTTATTTGCTTCCCTATTGGCACATGGTTGGCAAACACAAAACAAATTCTTTGTTCTAGCAAACCATGATAACCTAATGTATTCCATACATATTTCAACACTTGTACTCTATTTTTATTTATGCATATATACACACACACACACACACACACACACACGGAGAACTAGAAGACTGACTTAGTAGGGGGAAAAAAGAAATTAACCCATTTCAGATTTTACTACTAGTTTTATAATAGGTTCTAATCTGGCTTGTTTTCAGAATGGTGTCCTCCAACACTAACTTTCCATATATTTGCTATTTTAACTTCTGCCATTATATTTTTAATTAAAAATTTGTATTTGAAAAAAAAATCCTCTCTCCTCCCCCACACACTTCCATTAGGACAGTCAGTTTCAACAAGGGCAAGTTCTAACTGAAGGAGCCCTGGTGATGTAGTGGTTATGTGTTGGGCTATGTTGCACATGGTCGGTAGTTCAAAACCACCAGCACCTTTCTCGGTGGGAGAAACCCTGGGCTTTCTACTCCTGTAAACATCCTCAGACTGATACAGGTCAGCACTGAGTCTATGGTGGTGAGAAGATCCAATTTAGATCAGGAGTCCTTGTGGCTCAGTGAGCACTTGATCGCAAACAGAAACATCAGCAGTCGCAACTGATTCCATGGCACTGATCATCCTAAGGACAAAAATAATGGGATCTTTATGTGGTTCGTTTAAAACCATTCTATAGGGGTGCCCTCAATATTTGAAAATACAAAATGAACCTTGAGCGTGTCTAAGGTGTTCAGAAGCATAAGACAAACTTGCACCCAGCCAGTTGGCAACTGCGCAGCAGGACTCACCACATGACGCACACCTATTTCCAGGGCCACAGGCCACCAATACCTCCCACATCTCACAGTCCACAAAGCCCTGGCTTCCTGAGGCAGTTACTCATCAACTCGAACTTTCCATGCCCTCTACTCCGGAAAGCCAAGATGGCCAATGTCAACGAAGAAGGTGCCTGGCCAATTGGAAACGCGGTATTTTTGGAAATGAGCCACACAAGCAACAGCATGGAGTCTACTCATCAAGCATGACTTGACAAGGGGCATGGGAAATGGTACTTTTCTTATTTAAATCTAAATAGAGAACACATCGAGATGATGGAAGCGTTTTACAAGGTGAAATCACACAAACGTATGCTACTTACTGTTTCTTTAAAATTCTTCTCCTGGAAAGACCCAAAGGTTTTCAACTTGGAAATACATCTGAGGTGAAGTGCATCTCGCTCACTGGCCTGAAAGATGCTGGCTGCCAACTCGCTATGCCAGAGCTGTGGTGGTTTCGTGGGCGGACACCGTCGCGGGTCCCGGGTGAAGCTGGCTGGGACGCAGAGGGGCTTCGGCCCCCCGCAGGCTCACACTTCCGAGGACCGCGGGCCGCATGCTGTCGTCGTCAAGGCAACGGCCTCCCTCCGCCCGCAACCATTAGATACAAAAGTCTCTGGAGAGAGACCCTGCCCCGGTCGGGATGCACCCACGGCAGGCACCAACACCTGGGAAGGCTAGGTCTGGAGAGAGATCAGCTGAGGGGAGAGGGCACTGCCTCCCGGGCCGGAAGGTGCCCAGTCCTCCGAGTCTGTGAACCAGCGGCGCGCCAGCCAGCCACGGGCGAAGGCGTTGGCCAGGGAGCTGCAAGAGGGCGGGTCTTAGCCCGCCAGGGCCCGCCCCTCGGGCGCCAGGTCTTCTTTGTTCTGATTGGCTGGACCCTGTTGTCAGGAGCTAGGATTGGCTTAGCGCCAACCGCCCCTCCCCCTTCACCTGGAGTACCGTCCCGGTTGCGCTTCCCGACGGAGGCGACTGCTGCAACCGCACACACTTCCGTTCTCATGTAAGGAAGGATTCTCGGGGAGAAGTCGCTTCTCTAGGGAAGGGAACGGGATTGTGGCCCTCACGAGGAGGGTAAGATGGTGGTGGCTGCATTGGGCTGAAGAAAAGGAGAGGGGAAGATGATGCAAATACGTGAAGTAGAGTCCTCACAGCCACCCCGCTGGAGTAAGAATAGACCCCGGTCGCCCGCACCCGAGAACTTTCCAGCCTGACTCAGATTCCACATTTCCTTTTCTGTCTGGGCGGTGAAGTCTATAAAGGCCAGAGAGGAAAGTAGGGTGACAGTCTAGGAGATGATCTGCAGGTGAGAAAGTGTGAACAGAGGTAGGTGAGGACATGGGAAACAGCCCAGGCACTGATAGTAAAGAATCACTTTTGAGTATAGCTAGGGGGGAAACTCAGTGCCATCAAGTCGTTTCCACTCACAGTGACCCTATAGGGCAGGATAAAACTGTCCCTATGAGTTTCCCAGACTGTAACTCTTCAGGGGAGTAGAAAACCTCGTCTTTCTACCGCAGAACGGCTGGCTGTTTCGAACTGCTGGCCTTGTGGTTAGCAGCCCCAACTTGAGAAGGCTCGAGTGAAGTGAGAAAGGAAGCCAGACCATTAGGGAACTAGATGAGATGTGCAATACTGAAGGATGACAGCAAAATAGAGTGAGGTTAGGGAGTGCAAAATTTAAAGCTTGCTTTACCTGTGACCAAGAGCTTTGATAGCAAGGTGGATGGATACGCATGGGGACGCTAACCCCAGGTTCAGCAGTTAGAAATAACCAGACCCTCCATGGGAGAAAGATGAGGCTTTCCACAACGGTACAGATTTACGGAAATCGAAAGGGGCACTCATAATTAAGGGATTAATTCCTTCCCCAATACCAAGAAATAAGCATTCCAGTTTATCTATAATCTTTTGTGAGTTTAGTTACCATGAATTAATTTTCCAATGATGGATCACCTTGTGCAAATTGCTAAAAATCTAGTTCCTTCATCTGTAATATTGCGGACCAGACTTGGAATCTGGGTATGTAAAGAATAAAATTATTTTGTACATCAATCCAAGGTTGAGGTCTTGAGATAGCATTTAAGCCGTAACCTTAATTATGATCAAGTTGGAAGGGGCCATACCTAATTTTGTTATACTGATAGACAATAAAATTGGCACTCTGGTGGCATCGTGGTTAAGTGATGGACTGCTAATCACAAGGTCAGCAGTTCAAATCCACCAGGCACTGTGCAGCAGAAAGAGGGGCTAGGTTTGCTGTCCCATAGAACTAGAGCTGAATACCTTCAGGTACTTCAGGCTGAGGCTTATGGCAGAGTGGCATCCATAAAAGAGCTTTGTAACATTATCTGAGTAGGGCAGAGGCCAAAGAGCCATGTGGCTGAGAGGCCACTGACTAGAAACAGGCCTACCTCTAGACATGGATTAGAAGAGGCTGTCCTGCCTGAAGAGAGCTGTGTCTTAAGCATTTCAGATCCTGAATTATATATAACTTGTTACTTCCCTAATGAATAATTGTAAGTATGTGCTGAAGATGGAGATACTGAGTCTCTAGATTCCCTTGAGCTACTTTAGCCACCCCCTCCCATCTGAAGAGATTAATCCATTGTCAGTAAAACCATTCTTCCCCCACCTACCCACACATGAGATGAACACAACTGTTCATATTGATAGGATATCAGAGGCTGCATGTGGAGCACTGCCTTGAGGCAGATGCCTTGTAACAGCGGTTCACAACCTGTAGGTCGTGACCCCTTTGGGGGGGGGTCAAACGACCCTTTCACAGGGGTTGCCCGATTAATAATAGTAGCAAAATTATGGTTATGAAGTAGCAACGAAAATAATTTTATGGTTGGGGGGTCACCACAACATGAGGAATTGTATTAAAGGAAGGTTGAGAACAACTGCCTTATAAGATATTGCTGTAAGTTCTCAGGAAACACCTTTACCACTCACTATTGCTTCTAGACATATAATTAGACTTAAGTCACAGTGAGTCCCCAAACATGAAGATGGTGGCCCAGGTGCACTATACCCCTAAAGAACTGCTAGTGTCTTCTTTTTTGTTTTTAAGAAAATTTTTGTGGTTTTATTGTATAAGGAGGCATTGAAACATCTGAACAAATCAGTATCTGGGCGGTGAGGCAGCTGCTTTCTCCTTCACTTCTTTGGGTTACTAGAGCAACTTGTCGGTAGATTTTTTAAAAAAAAGAAAAAAGGACATCTTTTTGCATTACTCGTCTTTCCAAGGCATGTGCTGGTACAACACAAACTTCTGTCAGATCCCAAACATCATGCACAGCACCTGGATGGCAGTAGCGCACTGCGCGGCTCCCACTGCGGCCTGGCTAGTGTATAATGTCTGGAACATCTGGAAGAGTGTGAATAGTATCGGGAGGAGGAGGGGGGAGGAACAGCGTGAGTGCCTGGCTGGGATGAGGTCAGCGGAAGTTGCGCAGAGCCAGCCTGAACATGTCGTTGGTGCACACCCAGGCACATTGATGTTCTTTAGTAGGAACATCTGGTGAAAGCCCAGGATGGGGTCTTCATCGGCCTTTGGCTGGCCCACAACCATGCTGAGGATGCAGCCATCTGGCATGGGCTGATGGTCCTGCGACATGATGCTGTGCTGGATTTTCTGGAAAGGAAGGCTAGACAACTTCTCCACAATGTCAGCTTTCCCCTGGAACTGCCGTCCTTCCCACATAAGGCACAACGCATCAATATAAATTGCGCCCAGTTGGGTTCTGTCCTTATCAAATAACTGGTAGTAATGCTGCATAAAGCTGGATCCAATCTGTTCCCAAATCGACTTGTCTCCCATTCTGGGACATTGCCCGGCCTCGTGGAGACCCAAGGGGTTGGCATGATGGTGGCAGCGGCAGCGGCAACAAGCGCAGTCTGCCAGTGTCTTCTAATATGTACAGACAGATGCATATGGACTATGTATGGGAATGGTTACTAGTGGGATAATAGTGCAAGGAATATAAGCATAGATAAATCTGAGTTTTATTGATATGGCCCTACTATGCACAGATTCTTCATTCATTATTTTAACAGGAGAGGATCTTATGCTTTATTTGGTTGTTTTACTGAAGCCTAGGTTATGAAATGGCCTACATTAAGTCAAGCTGAAGTACCAGACCTACCTTAGTATACTATAGAAGGTATCTAAAAGCTTAGGAAAATTTGCATATTAGAATGAATTTTAGGATAAACCCATAGACCCACAAAGGGAGTGCCCTAAGAACAGAGCTCTTACGTAATAGCAATAAAAAAATTTGTCAGGGGAGCCTCAGCATTTCTGAAGACTCTTGTGATTGCTATTTTATCTCAGCCAGGCTTCAGGGTGGAAACTACCCTAATTGAATTAAGACACTTGCCTGATATGGGGCTAATTGGGACCTAGGGGAATAGGGGCCAAGTGGCAGCACAAGGTGGGCGTGGTTCTTGTAATGGACAGCAGAGTCAAAGTAGTCATCAGAATAGCCCTGGCTCATGTGGACCTATGGTGTTGGCTACTTAGGTAAGGTGTCCCTAAGAATGAAATAGATAGGAAACCTACTAAAGAGTTACTTGATCTATATAAGCAGGATAATTCCAGATCAGGTGCATGGCAATGTCACTCAAATTGCCAGAATTGATAGTCACAATCCCTCAATCAATTTCCAGATTTAAGCCAATTTAAAGATCCACCACTCCTTGAATGAAGAGGCTGGATTCCTTTGAAGAAGAACCCCACTATACCACTATACCTCATTATACCACCACTATTCTGTTAGTCATTGTCTTAGTCTTGACCAAATGGATTTGTGGCTTTTCACAGGTGTGACTATTCATTGAGAAGAAGGACATAATCAGATTTAGGGGGGATTACTGAACAATGGCTCTGCACTGACACTAATTGCAGGAGACAAAACATTTTGAAGGCCCCACAGAGTGCAAGTGTATGGTGGTCAAGTTATTCATGGAGTGTGAGCTCAAGTTTGTATCACAGTGGGCAACCACACTGCAATAATTTCCCCAGTTTTATAATGCATTATTAGATAGACTGACTCTGCTTGAGTAAATAATGAGTCAAAAGCAATACTGTATTCCTGAGGGGATTGCAGGATTAGTGCCATCATCAAGGATTTGAAGAATGCAGGGGTGGTGGAGATTCTCATTACATCCTCATTAAACTCTCTTATTTGGCCAGTGCAAAAATCTGATGGATCTTGGAGAATGACAGTAGATTATCATAAACTAAATCAAGTGCTGACTCCAATGGTTCCAGATGAAGTTTTGTTGTTTGAGCAAATTAATGTTTTTCCTGATACCTGGTATGGAACTATTGATCTGCCTGATGCCATTTTCTCAATTCTCATCCCAAAGGACAGCCTGAAGTAGTTTGTCTTTACCTGACAAGCGCAACAATATACTTTCACAACTCTCCCTCAGGGTTGCATTAATTCTCTAGCCCAACTCATACTTCAGTCTGCAGGGACCTGGATCATCTTTCCCTTCCACAAAACACCACAGGTCCACTACATAGACAGCATTATACTTATTAGACTCAGTAAGGAAGATAATTCAATTGCTTTAGACTTATTGGTAAGACATCTGTGTGTTAGAAGGCAGGATATTAACCTGACAAAAATTCAAGTACCTTCCACGTCAGTAAAATTTCTAGGGGCCTAGAAGTGTGAGACATTGTGTTAAGTCTGGGTAAACTAGAGAAACAAAGCCAGAGAGATTCGCGTATGTATAAGAAAGAACTTTATATCAAAGATCAATTGT